TTACACTCAAACTTTGCCTTATGCATTCATGCACACATTGTTGTAAAATATTTCTATGAATTTATACCTGTGGCTCAGTATCTCCAGACTTGGCATAAAAAGGCCAGGAAGAAATGCAATGGCAATAAAATGTTATAAATCATTAAAGCAGTGGTTCTCAACCTGGGGCCCCCAGATGTTTTTGGCCTTCAACTCCCAGAAATCCTAACAGCTGGTAAACTGGCTGGGATTTCTGGGAGTTGTAGGCCAAAAACATCTGGGGACCCCAGGTTGAGAACCACTGCATTAAAGGAAAAGACGGATTGTGTGGTGCTCTAGAAGCTGTTGGACTTCAATCACTATCAACTGTCCTTATTGTTTATGCTAGCTGTTAGGAGTTGCAGTCCAAGTACACGTGAAGAGTCTAAAGTTCCTCATTCTCCTGCCTTAAGATGTCTGCATGGTGGAATCAGCATAGTATAGTGTTTGACTGTTGGACTAGGATAACAGGAAACCAGGGTTCAAATCCCAGTTTGGCTATCACTTTAGGCAAGTCACACTGTCTCGGCCTCAAAGGAGGGGAACTACACACCCCTTCTGACCAAATTCTGGCAATAAAATCAAATTATAGAGTTGCTTTAGGGCACCATAAATCTGAAATGATTTGAAGGTGCTCAACAACAATATGTGATAGACATAGTTTCCCCATATGGATCTTTAGCTATTGAATAGTTCTAAGGCAGACTAGTCATTGTAAAAACATGCTGAAAGGCTAAGCTTTTCATGCTCTGAGCAGAAATAAAAGTATAATAAATATCCCGTGTGGGTTATGAACAAAAACACAGCATCAGGAAAAGATAAAAATATTTTGGGCAATGCTCCCATAGTTGTTATTTGATATCATTTAAAAAAAACAGTGAAAGTGTACCATGCTAAATAATGCCAATAAAATAAGGGGTAGATAGATAGATAGATAGATAGATAGATAGATAGATAGATAGATAGATAGCAGATCTGGGAATGTTGGACGAAATATTTTATTCTCTGATGTATTTCTTTTCATACTTTTAGTGCACCTCTGAATTAGCTTTCGTGTTTTGTTTAGATCAAACCATGCTTTCATGCTATGTCTTTTAGCAATTTTTGAAGCTTGAATTCTCAGCACAAAGCAATAGAAAGCTTTTACATGACTCTCTTGACTTCTATGAAAGCTGTCCTGCTGATTTGTCTTCTCATTTATTAACCCTGGTCTAACCATGGAAATTACACATATTTTTCGCACTTTAATTTCTAGCCAATTACATTTATATTTGAGTTCCATTAGAAGATTTCATGCATGAATGAGCCTGTCGACTTACTTTCCACTTAACCCAACTCTTCAGATTTTATAGGTGTTTTTAAACTCAACTTGTATAAGAGGGAGAGAGACAAAAAAATCTTTGCTGGGTTGACAGGTAGTATATGTGCACCCAAAAACTTTGCAGTGCACAATAAAGAAAAAAGGGAAGAAAATAAAAAAAACATAATACCTATTACACAGGTCACTATATGCAGATACCTCTGCCATCAAAGATGACCGATATCACATTAGCATTTTAAAGTGGAAGTGCCTGTTTTCCTATCATTTGGCTGCCTCCTGCAGAATTCTGGAAAATGTAGTGGAACTTTTGGAATTCTCAGCCAGAGAGGTCCTCAGCTTCCCTAAACTATATTTCCCAGAATTCTGCAGGAGGCCATCAGATGGTAGCAAAATGGGCATCTCTCATTTAGAATGCTAATGTGATGTTATCCCAGGTACAGCTACAGTGTAAAATGAATTGTTGCCCTTCACTACTCCAAAGGTCAAATCAGGACATCAACTGAGTTTAAAAGCAAAAAGAACAGAGGTTTATTTCTTTCAGACCCGAAAAGATGTCAGGATAGTGCCTCCGCTCTCAAAGATCTGTCATAACCCAGTGCAAAATAGAGTATATATTTAGACACTTTTGACTAAATATTCAGAACACCCACATTAGCTTCTGATTGGTTGAAAACTGGTCCAACTAGGATCAGGGCTGTCAGTGTCTGCTGGCTCCATGAGGAGGTCCACTGACTGGTCTTCCTGGCAGCAGGAAACAGCCAAAAACTCAAAGAACTGTCATTCATTGATTTAAAACATAAGTCCATGTAAACATCCACCCCGGAGGGAAGTGCAGACCTCTGGAATGCAGTGTGGCAGTATGTAAAACAGTCCATGATGGGATTAATTGCTCAGCCCAATTTATATAGAGGAAAAAGTCCAGTAAACACAATGCTGATGGAACAGTTCAATGGAGGGCATACACTGGTATGCTGTGTGCTTATCCCCAGGAGTAGTTACCTCCAGATCTTAGCAATAGGCTGGAAAAACCTTACATGATAGTATTAATTTCACAATGGTTGAGAAGCCAGGAGCACCTCAGGTAGACAAGCAGGCATGTTAAATCATTCAACAGGTCTTCTGGACTTTAACATGCTTCCATTGCAATTCTAAAGGAAGTCAATCTTACTTTCATCAAATAAATCAAAAATAATTGTTAACAAAAAAGAACAACAATTAAGATGAAGAATAACATATACAATCCCAGCATTAAAGAAAGAGTAATAAAGTACAGCTTTTATGAAAAGAAGTTAACAGATATCTAGCATGTCATTAATCTTCCCAATATGTACTAACATATTTAAAACCAATGGCTTTTCCCACCAATTATAATACCAAAAATGTAATGAGAATTTTGAATGAGATCAGTAATAACCAAGGATAGCTTTGTCCTCATTTTAGTTGCCTGAGCAGATCCCCAACTAGAGCAGATCCATTAAATCAATGGAATTTTGTTTATTTACCCTTAAACAGTTAATTCAACAAATAATTCAATTGAGCTATTCTAGTTGGTACAAGGAACTGGATTAATACCTTGGGCCAGTCTACACTGACCCAAAACCCCGAGTTTGACCAGAAGTCACTCTTGGACATTCAGATGACATGCAGGGACTTTCAGTACATAATGCAGGGTAACACTGGTTAATCGAATTTTATGCTGCATTTTGAGAAGTCAAGGGATGCTCCAGAATTTTGGGGAAAGTGGGCTAGTCCTTACAGTTATGAAACAAAAGAAATTATCCTTGTTACAACCCCTTAACCATTATAATATAACACAGTTGCACTATTGTTATTGAAGAAAAAAGAATTAGTTACAGTTAACTAGTGATTTGTACTTTCTTGCTCCCAAAGATGGATTGTGAAGTCAATTAAGCAATTACTGTATTTCATAGATTTTAAGGCACACTTTTCCCATTTAAGTGTCTCAAAAAATGAGATGCATCTTGGAAACACAGGTATGGGCAAACTAAGGCCCAGGGGTCAGATGCGGCCCCCTGGGCACCGATCTCAGACCCTTCTCATTTTCCTGTCCTCTCAGCATAAAGACATGGTGGCCCACCACATCCTTATGCAAAAAGGATGAAGGAGGAAGGCACATAGCAGCTGCACACCCTCTGGAGCACTCTCAATCACCATATGTCTCACCCTTCTCCCAGCATAAGAATAGTGTGAGCGGCCGTGTCCTTATGCTGAGAGGACAGCCCAAGGAAGGCATGCAGTGGCTGAGAGCCCTCTGGAGCACTCTTGGCCCGGGCCAGGCAAAAAAGTTTGCCCATGCCTGATCTAATCTATCATTTTTTTCTGTTGGCACTTGGCAGTACTGAAATCAGCATGTGTTTTAGAATGGATTAAATATGGTATTTTAAAATTCATTTTCTTCATTAGATATGTAGATTAACAAACCATGGCACGTTACTGCTGAAACATAAAGCTTTCACCTTTTAAAAGGAGACACTGCACACTGAATAAAAGGGTAACTGCATGGCTAGCAAGGAGAGGGGTTTTTTGGCATCATTTATAAATCACGTGACAGTTTAAACAAGCAAAAGTTACTCTATGGATGTAGCTTCAAAAACTGGAGGTGTGTCAAAAGGTAGGAGGCTAGGCAAAACACAGATAACCTATTTATACATAATTAAAGTACTTTATAATATTAAGGTTAATGGGATGAGAGAACAGAATGAGGGAGCACAATTTAAAGAGGTTTAATATCTTCATGCCAAACCACAGCTAATCAGAAGAAAATTATTTTATTGCTGAATACCCATCACATAGCATCTTGCAGAACTGCAAGAAAAGAAGTTATGTGGATAAAGACCTTTATCTCCTTCCCTGAGAAAGTTATAGTCTTTGCCAAGAGTTTAAATAACGACCTTGCAGAATCAGATAACACAAAAATAACCTTTGTTTAGAAAAATGTACCTGAATGGAGAGATGTTTTGAAGACTGGGGGAAATGGGAAAATTAAGAAGAAATAGTGTTTTCCTTTTTTGTAAACCAAGGAAGGGCAAATTGGGGATTTTCTAAAAGTTGGGTTGTTAAAATGTCTTACAGCAGGGTTTTCTGTATCTACCTGGCCTTTATTTTCTCTTTAGGCATTTTGTCCAGGAATAGTCTGGGACTCTGCCCAGAAAATCCCCCTGCCTCATGTCTTCCCATTCCTCAGTCTCTGCAAGTCACATAATTATCTTGTTTTCCCCATGTCAACTGAAAAAAATGGATTTTTCCTAACCTTTATCTTGCCAGAAATGTACCGTTAACCAGCTTGAATGTCCAAGGAGAGAAATCACCAAATTCCTGCTCATCTCTGTGTTTTACTTAGGGAGCTTTGATACCTCTTTGACAGCAAGCCCTAGCTAGTTCTCTTATTACCCGCTGGATATAGAGGGGTGTTAGATTGATTTGAAGCTTATTTATGTATATATTGATTTAAAAGTTTTTAAGGACTACAGTTGTAAATAAAATGAGGAAGGCTTCTGTTTGACTATATAGCCAGAAGAACTGGGGTGGAGGAGAAGTACTAAATATTACATGTCTATTTAGCTGCATACCCCATTGAGCTTAATGAGGACCTACAACTGCTAAAATACCATATTTTTACCCTCACTTGTTAAACACAGGGAAGGAAAAGCATATGGTGAAGAGAAATGAGAGAGGAGCAAAGCAGTACACTGGGCCGTGCCTATACAACCACACTGGAATAAAAATGTAAGTTATCTATAAAATAATTTAGATTTATTGATCCTTACAAATAAATCAGTGTTTTGACATCAAAGATTATGGCTGTACAACAAAGATTAATCTATACAAACCTTTTGACAACATAACATGAGCCTTGAACTTGAAAAACAAAAAATGAATATAAAATTGTATTTATGTAATTGGGAAATCATACTGACGTAAAAGGTTGAAGTGGGTGATCAGAAAATTAGTGTTAAGTTCTGGTCTATGCATGGATTAGCATGGGGTCCCTGGGCTAAGACTTGACAGTTAAAGTGGTGTCAAACTGCATTAATTCTACAGTTTAGGTGCACCCTAAGCCATCTTTGATGGCAAAGACTTAACTGCATGTAGTAACCTGTGTGATGGGTTTTACTATTTTCTATCTTTTTTATTTATCGTGGGAATGAGAAAAGAGAATCTGCTCGAAGCAGGAGAAAGGATTTTGTTAAAGAGTCATATTATATTTCAACTTAAGCATGTCCCATCTTAAACTTTTCTTTTATGGATTCGCCAACTGCTTTTCTTCATTCTATCTCCTTTCGCTCTCCCCTACATGCGGTCTTATAGAAGGCCTGAGTGGCATATAAGACACTAGTGCCACCCAGAACTTAGAAGAGATGTTCAAGGGTTTCGCCACAGTTGGATCCAAGACGATACATATGACATTTCTAAATCAACTTTCAATTCATTCAAGGACATTCATTTTTTTCTCTTTTCTCAGAAATTACCTCCCTGAAAAATTAGGGTAGTGGTGGTGACATTTCCCTCTCCAATTCCATTTATGTCTCTGTGGCTTCAAAGTTTCTGGAAATTGTAAAACTCTGCAAACTTTCAAATTAAACTGAAATTAATCTATAAACTGAAACAAGTTTAAAGAGCAGTAGCTTACTGGCAAACAGTATTATAATTAAAGCAATGCAGTTTTCCCATTTGGATTTTTAGTAAACTAGTACTACGATTCTATGGAGAGCAGATTCAGTCATGAAACATATTGAGTACAAATATGTAACTTGGGACTACATGATCACTTTTTAATTTTTGCTTTGACACACAGGGCCACCTCGTTTTCTCTGAAAGGACAAACTGCAGGAGATCATTTTGCATAGCATCAGGCTAAACCCTCTAATGGTTGTATTAAAAAACTCACTGGACCATGGACGTAGAGTTTGAGAACATGATTGATAGCATTATAGTATATTATAATTTAGGGCATAATAATTACATTTAACTAGCTCTGTTAATTGCTTTATCCACCCTCTGTCCATTCACATTAACACCAAACTCTGCTAGATATACTATTGTCACTTACATTATTTCCATTTCAAACTGTACCAAACACAGCTCTTGGATCAGCAGGAAGAATTTGAATGTATGATCTGATATCATGTTTCTATTCTATCAAAAGAGTAGCGGGACTCAATCTAAAAGACTATAGCAGTGGTGGTGAACCTATGGCATGCATACCAGAAGGAGAACAGAGCGACCTCTCTCCTGGCACGTGAGCCATCACATGCCCCCTGTAATGGATTGGCCTACCCTGAAGGGTTGTCATAAAAGGGTTGGAGTAAAAGGCAGAAGCCAGGCCCAGCTTGCTGAAGCTAAGCAGAGCTGAGGGATGGAGCAATCAGGCAGTCTAGGCCAGGAGTGCAGGCTGATTGGCTGATAGAAGTGGAGGGAAAAGCTCAGTAGCTGGAGATGGGTGGATCCAGAGTAAGAGGGAAGAAGAAAACAGCCATTTTAAGATGTGTTAGGAGTTTTGAAGGAAAGAAGGATAACAAGGAGTTTGAAGAGAAGAAGGAAGGAAGAGATTTGGGAACTGTTTTGTTATAGGGAACATACCTCTTTACTGTTAAAAGTTAATAGGCCTCTATAGTGTTTAGAGTGCTATGTAGGAGGAAGGGAGATTTCAAAAGGTTTTAAGAAGATTCCTGTTTGAATTTTTATGTGTGGAAGTTTGTTCTAAAGAAACTCAAGATAATAGTACCATCCTCTGTTATTTATTTATTTATTTATTTACTTTATTTGTATACCGCTGTTCTTAGCCCTTAGGCGACTCACAGCGGTTAACAACAAGAACAGCAAAAATTCAATGCTATCAACACATGGTATAAAAACAGTTAACATCATAACATATTATAGAAAAGTATACAATTAACAACAATATACAATTAACACCAATAGCCATTCACTAGTGTCTCATCACTAAAAACATGATCCAGATCCGTTATCCATTGTTCCATTCCTATGTTCATTACATTCATTGCACTGACTATTCGAACGCCTGCTCAAACAACCAGGTTTTCACTTTTTTGCGGAATACCATTAGTGATGGAGCTAGTCTAATATCCGTGGGAAGGGCGTTCCACAGCCGCGGGGCCACCACCAAGAAGGCCCTATCTCTCGTCCCCACCAGCCGTGCCTGTGGGCAGGCGGGATTGAGAGCAGGGCCTCCCCGGAAGATCTCAAAGTCCTGGTGGGTTCATAGGCAGAGATGCGGTCGGATAGGTAGCTTGGGCCGGAACCGTTTAGGGCTTTAAAGGCCAACGCCAGCACTTTGAATTGAGCCCGGTAGCAAATCGGTAGCCAGTGGAGTTGGCGCAGCAGGGGGGTTGTATGCTCCCTGCGCTCCACTCCCGTTAGAATCATGTCTGCCAAGTGTTGGACTAGTTGAAGCTTCCGAGCCGTCTTCAAAGGCAACCCCACGTAGAGAGCGTTGCAGTAGTCTAAACGGGATGTAACCAGAGCGTGGACTACCGTGGCCAAGTCAGACTTCCCAAGGTACGGGCGCAGCTGGCGCACAAGTTTTAACTGTGCGAATGCTCCCCTGGTCACCGCTGAAACCTGGGGTTCCAGGCTCAGCGATGAGTCCAGGATCACACCCAAACTGCGAACCTGCGTCTTCAGGGGGAGTGCGACCCCATCCAACACAGGCTGTAACCCTATGCCCTGTTCGGCCTTGCGACTGACCAGGAGTACCTCTGTCTTGTCTGGATTCAATTTCAATTTGTTCGCTCTCATCCAGACCGTCACAGCGGCCAAGCACCGGTTCAGGACCTGGACAGCCTCCTTAGTAGCAGGTGGAAAGGAGTGACAGAGTTGGACATCATCCGCGTACAGATGACACCATACCCCGAAACTCCGGATGATCTCCTGACAAGTTATCTTCAACCATTACACTTATTGACTGTTCAAAATAAACAACATTTCCTGTTTTATTCCAACTGAAGTCTCCGTGTGGCTTTCAAACATTTCATCAAAGGAGGTGGCCTATAAAAATAATAAATTGGTGGCAGCAAAAGTAATCTTAAGTAAATAATTGGAGATGGCAAAGGCAAAATAAAAATATACGTTGGAGGTTTCCCACTGTCTGGCTTTGTGTGGGTGAAGGTGTGCACTGGTTCCCTCATGGCCTTGCCCTGGGCCAAGCCTTGCTGTTTGCCTTTTGTCCTCCATCTTGTGTGTGAGTGTGCCTGAGACAACTTCTGCCTACTGCCCCTCCATTGTTTGTTAAAGTTTGTGGCACCTCGTGTGATATCCGAATTTGGTGGGACACTCTTCTCTATACCCCCATTTGCCCACTTGCCTGCCCCCTTTGCTCATTGGTCACCCTCTTCCCGCCAACCCACTTGCTCACTCCTCCCACCAGTTTTAAGACAGAAAGGAGAATCCGAAACAAACAGAGGCAAGATATTTTGCCAGAGTGGAAACTAAACTAAGCAATATAAAATTAATGCATCCCTATTAGTTCTAGATAATCTGATTGCTCTGGATTATTTATAAGTAGAATTTGTTTTTTGCAAGTAGTATGTAACAACATCTGGCAATTCTGTCACATACTTGAGCTATATATCTGCTCCCAAAGGGTTAAAGTTATATAGTGTAAGCATGCTTTGGTGATAATGGATGAGAGGACACTCACACAGTCACAAATATTCAAAGAAGTTATGTATGGATAAGAGTCATATGACCACGTGGATTAGCTTATCATCTGTCTTTACTATGCTCAGTGTCCCTCCAATCCACCATCCATTATACCTAAGAAGAGGGTCTGTCAGTAGAACGGGATCTGAGTATAATCAGAACAGCCCTTCTTAAATAAAGAAGATGTACATACCTTGGTATATGTGCCCTGAATACTCTCCAATATTTCATAGATGTTAACCAGCACATGTGTGGTCAAGCAAAATCAGAGCATGGTTAAGATAGCAAAACATACTAATGAGGAAGAACAGAGAAACTAAGTACATTGATGTACTTTTGTCTGAGCCTACAGAGAAGGATAAGACTGTGCCCCTCTTCTCCTGTCTCCATTGCCAACTTAATTGAGCTGTCTTTGCACTTTGAAGTCAATCTGCATCAGTGAAAGTAGGTTTGGGAGAAAGTGGGAGAAAGAGAGAAAGGGGGATATTTTAGAAACATAGCAACATATCATTCCACAGATATATAACCCCTTTTTTCTAGTTCCAACAGACCTCACTACCTCTGAGGATGCTTGCCATAGATGCAGGCAAAACGTCAGGAGAAATGCCTCTAGAACATGGCCAGATAGCCCGAAAAAACCTACAACAACCCAGTGATTCCAGCCATGAAAGCTTTCGACAATACAAGGTCCATAATGTTAGTTCTCCTTGCACCTACAAACCTACAACAACCTATGGAAAAACTGATGGTTAATTGGGGTTGTCCCTTCCTAATGGGACAGTTGGAGGGTATGGTGATGTTTCTTCATAGGCAGGCAACACATGCAGATGGTGAGGGACATAGCTACCAGGCACTACAGCAGCTACAGGCAGTGCTGGCATGTTGAACCTCATGACCATGAATGAACTGGGAGGAGGGAATCTTTGAATATATCCCTTAATATCATTAGAGCTATAAGAAAGCAGTATCATAAAATTATCCATATATGATAAAATGTTGGACAAAAATGCACTGCATCCAACAGGTGTTATTTTTCCATTGACATATTCAGTTTGTAGGGAACAAAGAGGAATTTATGTTAGGAAGTGACTAATGAGTGCATGGGTGTGAAGGGATTAAAAAACTTAAACAGTCCAATGTAGTTTGAGAAGGCTGGAAAAATTTCTACCATACACAAGTTAACCTGATGTGTAAGTCAAGGACAGGTCTGGGGGCAAAATTATGGATTTTGATATGGCCTGTGGATAAGTCAAGTGTCATTCTGAAGAGAAGGAAAAACATCAATGCCACTTCAGTGCCATGAGGAGAGAGTAAAGGGCATTGGTTCTTCTTTTAGGTTTTCCTGGAATAGTCCAAATTCTCACCTTTGACCACTCTACTCAGAAAAAGGGATGGTACCTTTTTTGATTGGAGTAAATCTGCAGTAGTCACATTGACCCAGAAATAGGTCAAAACAAGTTTTTTTGATGGAATTGTTACTAGAATTTGTAGACTCATAAATGACTATATAGGGTTAAGGAAGTTGGTTATGAACTGTCATGTTTCTAATGTTTTTATTGTGCAACAAGTTTCTCAAGCAATCTATCTGATCTTAGTGATCATGATGATAAACATTGTTCTACAAAAATCAAATACTACTATGTAATACTGCACTGAAAAGAATATAGACTACTCCATTTCACTTTCATTCTATGAGGTGCATTTTCACTGTGTTTTGAAAACATTTAGTTGTTAAAAATGTTCATAAAAAACAGTCAGCAACTTTTTATAGATAGGCACCCTTTCAAAGCTAGAAAATAAAACTGGTTTAGAGTAGTACTAACATTGTTGGTCTATTGTCACCCAATAGTAATTGAAAATGAATTGCCATCTCTCCTCCAAAAGAATACATTTCTTTTTCAGATCTTGATCTTAAATTGACAAATGAAAAAGCACCATCAATGAGAAAAAAAGAAAGATATGGTATCATCTTTCTTTTGCTTGAAATCTCAGTCTGCTCTTTCTTAGTGTGTTCATGTGTATTCAATTTGCCTGTTAATTTATGATGACTTCATGAATTTCATAGGGATTCATTAGGCAAGGAATACGCAAGAGGAGTTTTGTCAGTTTATTATTCTGAAATATAGCCTACAGTACATGGCATTTGTTGATGGTCTTCCATTCAAGTAGTAGTACTAACCAGACCTGACCCAGCTTAGCTCTGAAGATCAGACAGAATCTGGTGCCTTTAGGGTATTGAGGTCCTCATTTCTAATTATCCATTACATTATTTTACTGAGTTCTCAGCTACTACTTTTCCATGTCTTTCATAAATCCAATTAATAGCCAAATAAAAAGGACCTCACACACTGAAAACTAATTCATCATCTAAAATAATCACACAGGACACAAGAATTCCTACCATTAATATTTTTAGTTCATAGTACAGTTCTTTTGAAAAGGTGTTTTCTAATGAATGGAAGTACAGAATGAGTAATGGGAATTTACTCATCAGTATTTCATTGATGGCTTATTTCCTTTGACACAGACTTGTTATTGACTGTTGGTCCACAAAGAGATTGAAAAATGGCAGCATTTCCATGAGTTTTCAGAAGATCAAACAATATCTTGTGAAGTAATTGCATGGCCAATTCATGCCATGTAAATATACTCTAAGGGCTTCCAGATATAGTGCTGGAATTCCTTTGTCTGAAAGCAAAGAACAACAAAATTTTCCTGGCAGGGTTGAGCCATTCCCAAAAATCATGCCTCAGACAGCTAGGCTGTGATTTTTGCTGAAACTGAGCTAACCAGGTAATTGTGAGGCTGACAACAGATGTGGGCACTCATCTATTAGGATCTAGGCTAGAACCACCAGCTCATGTCAGATAGGCCACTGAAAAGCAATCAAATGGCAATGATTTTCAATCACCGCTGACAGGAGGGTGGATTCAAACCAGTGACCTAGAGGTGAAATGCTCCATATCCTATTACTAATCCTTGAAATTATTCCTTTTTCCACAGCTGCGCCATGAATGACACAAGAGAAGAAATGTGAGAGGAATTGCAACAGGCAATCCAAGCCAGTAATTTGTACAGAGCCAACAAAAAATCATGCTTGGTATGTAAATCATATTGTGTGGAAACATGGTCAGGACACTGTTACAGATTTCACTATTACGTGAAGCAAAACCTTCCTAGTTCTTTTTAAAAGTAGGGAGTAAGTTCTATATTATTTACAGTTAATTGGATCACATTGCACATAAGGGTATGGTTACCTCATATGACTGTACTTTAGAATTATAATTCCCATCAAAGACTTTCTGCATATAGAAAAATCATTCCAAGTTGAAGGATGTACACAATAAAAGTGGCCACTGAAAAGCTGAAGTACAGTATAACCACTGTAAGGTGTGGGCAAGCCTGCAGCCAAAGTTAGAACCTCCCCTAGTTTACTTGTGAATTTTAACTGGTTGACCAAAACCCCATGCTAAGTTTATGAGAAACAAACATTTGAGTTCCTCCAGAACTAAAAGCACTATCTCAACCAAATTTTGATAATTAATTCATATATTATTACCTACCTTTCAGTCAATTTACATTGCAATAACAGCAATTGCCACATAGTGGAAGCGACCATGTTTTGACAGTGCAGATGTTTAGTCAACATTTTTGACATGTTTGTTGTTTATTCATTTAGTCACTTCCGATTCTTCATGACCTCATGGACCAGCCCACGCCAGAGCTCCCTGTCAGCCATCACCACCCCCAGCTCCTTCAGAGGCAAGCCAGTCACTTCAAGGATACCATCCATCCATCTTGCCCTTGGTCAGCCCCTCTTCCTTTTTCCTTCCGTTTTCTCAAGCATCACTGTCTTCTTTAAGTTTTCCTGTCTTCTCATGATGTGGCCAAAGCATTTCATCTTTGCTCCTAATATCCTTTCCTCCAATGAGCTGTCGGGCTTTATTTCCTGAAGTATGGACTGGTTGGATCTTCTTGCAGTCCAAGAAAATGACATAATCCACCAAAACTGGCAGCAGAATTGGACTCCCTATGTTAATCTCCATAAGAAAAACTTAAGTTTAAATATAATTTATGATGTTTCCAGGTATATAACAATTATGTTAATTTGTGCTTTCATAGGGTTTTCTTAGGCAGGGAATACTCAAATGTGATTTTAACAGTTCCTTCCTATGAAATATAGCCTACAGTACTTGGTATCCATTGGTGGTCTTCCATCTAAATACTAAACAGGACAGTCTCTGTTTAGTCCCCAAAATTGAAAGGGTTATTTGGGGTATTTAAGCTATTATTCCTTTCT